TGCCTCGGCCGCTGTGATGTTTTGGACCCTTTGTTTTCTCGTGCACTTCACCGTTGCACCATTTTATCTGGATCCAAGCTTCCCCTGTGGGCCACTGTGATTTTAAGTGGGCTTCATAAAGTTAATCCATTTTTCCAAAGCTACTTAGGTTTTGGGCCCCATACTTTTTGTACGTAAAGTTAGCCAATGTCTCAGCCTCCTGTTTGGAAAAAAAACCTCATTTTCAAGAGGTACCTATGCAAGGTCTCTAACGGGAGCCAAACCCAGACCCAGTCCAAAACCAGAATTTGTGAGCTCAAACCCAGGAGAGCTCATCCGAGACCCTGGCCGCGGGGGCCATCGGTGGGCACGACGGCCCTGGCAGGACCTTCGCTCCCTCACCTGGTGCCGCTGCGGTCCCCCGCGGTGGACTCTGGATTCTACCTTCCACGCCAATCTGATTAAAGAAACATGTGAACGAAGTAAGTCAGCGGCTGTATCCGAGCAGGCAGCACCGGAACCCGGCAGGATTCAGAGCCCCACCCAGCAGCCAGCGAGGCGGCTGTCACAGACGGGCGGACGGACGGCGGGACGCGCGGGGTCGGATTAGCCACAGCAGCGTCCGCCCTGCACGTGCGCGAGTGGTCCTCAGCCTGAAGCTGGCCCGCACCGGGGCTGAGGCTCAGCCGCCTGCTACAGGCTACCACTCCCCGCTCGGCTGCAGCGGGGTCACGGGTTAGTTAGGTTGCAGCCCGCTGTGGCCGAGGCAGCTCTGGCCTAACTGCACTGAACGCCGCAGACCTGCGGGGTCAGGCCCTGTGCTCTCCCTCGGCAGAGCTCCGCCCTCCGCGCCAGAGGGTCACCTCGGCCCCAGCCTGCCACCTAGACCACAGCCACAGTGCCCTTCCTTTCTTCTGGGGGGTGGTTCTTGCTTTGTTTGACATTTTTATGGTGGGTAAATATATCAAACTGGATATTTTAGCCATATTGAAGTGTGCAACTACTTGAACATACATTGCATGCACAGTGTCGTGCACCCACGCTTGCATTCCTGCGATGGTTCTCACTTGGTCATTGTATTACTCAGGCCTTCATGGCCACGCAGGCCAAACGCCATTCTCGAACGTTCTTTGCTCCTAGCGAGGCAAGTCTTCTGAAAATTCGTTCAATTTTTGTTTGTGAAAGTCTCATTTCTCCTTCACTTTTGAAGGATAATTTTTTTTTAAATTTATTTATTTATTTATTTATTTGAAAGGCAGAGAGAGAGAGAGGTCTTCCATCCTCTGGCTCACTCCCCAAATGACCACAATGGCCGGAGTTGGGCTGATCTGAAGCCAGGAGCCAGGGGCTTCTTCCGGGTCTCCCACTCTGGTGCAGAAGCCCAAAGTCCTAGGCCATCCTCCGCTGCTTTCCCAGGCACAGCAGAGAGCTGGATCAGAAGTGGAGCAGCCGGGACATGAACCAGCGTCCATATGGGATGCTGGCACTGCAGGCGCTGGCCCCCTCAAAGGATAAATTTTTAGGGCACAGAATGCTAAATTGATGTTTCTCTCTCAACAACTTTAATATTTTATTCTGCTCTTGAGTTTAGATAGAAAAACCACTTCTGATTCAAACTCCTTTTCTCTTACCATTCCCAACACAGATCACGTGTGAAGCCAGACAGGCAGGGGCCGGTGCTATGGCGCAGTGGGTAAAGCCGCTGCCTGCAGCGCCGACATCCTCTATGGGCACCAGTTCAAGTCCCGGCTGCTCCACTTCTGATCCAGCTCTCTGCTATGGCCTGGGAAAGCAGTAGAAGATGGCCCAAGTCCTTGGCCCCTGCACCCACAAGGGAGACCTGGAAGAAACTGGCTCCTGGCTTCGGATCGGTGCAGCTCTGGCTGTTGTGGCCAATTGAGGAGTGAATCAGCAGATGGAAGCTTGCTTTCTCTCTCTCTCTCTCTCTCTCTCTCTCTCTCTCTCTGCCTCTCCTTCTCTCACTGTAACTCTTTCAAATAAATCTTTAAAAAGCAAGCAAGCAAACAGGTAGAAGGTTCTACTCCACACGCTGAGAAGCCCTCTGCAGTAGCAGGCACCAGCTGCTGGCCTCAGATCAAATTTGATTCACTTTTTATAAAAGATTATTTACTTACTTAAAAAGTTAGAGAGGGAGAGACAGAGAGCGAATCCTCCAATCACTGGTTCACTTCCCTAGATGGCCGCAATCGCTGGTGCTGGGCCGGGCCAAAGCCAGGAGTTTCATCTGGATCTCCCCGCCAGAGGCAGGGGCCTAAACCCTTGGGCCATCTTCCAGTGCTTTCCCAGGTGCACTAGCAGGGAGCTGGATCAGAAGTGGAGAAGGCACTGGGGCTGGCGCTATGGCACAGCAGGTCAAGTCGTCGCCTGCAATGCCAGCATCCCATATGGGCCCCATATAGGTGCCAGTTTGTCTGGCTGTTCCACTTCCATTCCAGCTCTCTGCTGTGGCCTGAGAAAGCAGTGGAAGTTGGCCTAAGTCCTTGGGCCCCTGCACCCACATGGGAGACCTGGAAGAAGCTCCTGGTTCCTGGCTTTGGATCAGCACAGTTCCAGCCATTGTGGCCAATTGGAGAGTGAACCTCTCTCTCTTTCTCTGTGTGTGTAACTCTTTCAAATAAATAAATAAATCTTTAAAAAAAATAAAGAAGAAGAAGAACTGGAGAAGGCGGAACTTGTCTGGCGCTCCTATAGGATGCCGGTGCTGCAAGCAGCGGCTTGACCTGCTGTGCCACAGCGCCCGCACTGAGGTCTGCAAGGTGCCTCGATGCGTGGCTGCATGGCGTTACTGCTAACACAGCGGGTCTGCTCAGACCCTCAGCACCCCTTCCTGCCCTCTGAGGAGCCACACCTCACCATCTGCTGTCAGAGAGAAGCGTCGGGGCAAGACAGGGAAGGCTGACGTTTCTACAGTCTACACTGAGAGGGAAGTGTGGACAAAACCCACATGCACGTGTCATCATGTCACAGCTCTCTCTGTGCCTGGATGATTTCCGAGGACTCCAATGTGTTTCTTCCCCTTTCTTTTTTTTATGGGTAAGCTGGTTTTCTCCTCTAGCTTCTTTCAAGATTTTTCTGTTTATCACTGCACTTCTTTGGCTTGCCTATGATACACATGGGTGTGGATTATCTCGCGTGGTGGTCTCAGAGCTTCCTGGACCTGTAGGTTGGTGTCTGACATTGATTCTGGGAACTTCTCACCCACGGTCAATCCTACGTTCTCTTCTTTCTTCTGTATTCCTGCTAACACATATGTTGCCCCGTCCTGGTCACCCACACGTTTTCAGATATTCTATTCTGCTATTTGTCTTTGTTCTCTTAGCTTTTGAGTCTTGGAAGTTTCTGTAGATGCATCCTCAAGTCTGCTAATTCTGTAGCAGGTGCACTACAGAGCCCAGGGAGGGCATCGGCAGGTTTCTCTTGGTATCTGTGAATTGTCTCTTCCCTGGCACTCTCATCTCTGTGCCTCAATACCACCCGTGTTGTGTACTCTCTCATTAGAGCTTTGGCATGCCCATCCTAGCTGCTTCAAGTCCCTGGCTGAGAATCCAGCATCCCTGTTAGGTTTGAGTTGGCTCTGGCGTTTCTCTGTGCCCTCACCCTGTTTTGTCTTGTCTTGCCTTTTGGTATGCCTTGTAATTTCTGATTGAAAGCCAGACGTGATGTGCTGCACACTAGAACACAGCACTGGTTCCCGCCGAGGTTTCTGCTCTGGAAAGTTGTGATTCTCTGCGTCTGTCTGTCTCTCCGTCTCTGGAGGCACTGGTTGTCGGTGCCCTCATTCTCTGACAGGCCTGCGAAGAGCTGGTGGCTTGCTAGGCTGGAGTGATGCCATCCACCGCCCTCATCAGAAACAAGAACCCTCATCTGGTTCTTTTTGGCATTTTCTCTCTCTCCATTGATCGTCTTTACTTGAAATAATATGGTCATCATACTTTACTTCTTTAGCACAGTTCCTCTGGTTAGAATACCTTCATAGCGGTCACTCTGAAGTTCTTTCCTGTAAGTCCAACGTTCGGTCACTCTCCTGGGCGGTTCCCCTGCTTCCTCTGCGTGTGGACGTCTGTGTGTACACGCAGGGCTCATACTTGCCTGTTTCTTTGAGTGAGCCATAGCATTTTTGTTGGAAAGAGCACACTTTAGGCAACACAGTGATTCTGGGTACCAGCTCCTCATTCTGCAAGCTCATCACTATTTGCTTCTTTACTGGGGAAGTGACCGGCTGGGTCACATTGGGATTAGTCGGCTTTTCACCTGAGGCAGGCCACTTGGGGTCAGGCTTCTGGAGGTGCGAGATCAAGGGCGCCCCCTGGACGTGGCCTGCTGCTCACACCACACAGCAAGAGGAGGGGGCGCGCGTGCGCCGTGTCTGGACCGAGAGCTGGGACCACGGGGCTCCACCTTCCCAACCTTATCCAACCCTAACCACTTCCCACAGGCCCGGCACTAAACCCCACAGCCAGATGGCTCACGCCTCTTGCTACCATCCACAGGAGACTGTGCAACTCCTCCACGAGCCAGAGCTGGGAGATGAACCGTATTCAGCCCCAGCGTGTCAGAGGCCTCCCGGGGGGCACGGCTCTGGGTGACAGTGACCTTGGCTGGGGACTCTGCCCCCGGCCCAGCAGCCACTCAGCTGTTATCCTCTGCTAATGGCCAGCTGACTGTGCAATTGCTGGAAGCACTGTTCTGGGACATGGCTGATCAGGGAGGGATCCACTCCAATCCAGACTCTTCTGAGGAAAGTTCACGAGGGCGGCCCTCCTCCCCAGCCCCGGGCCCTCGGCCGCCAGGCCGGGCTGTGGGGTCTCAGTATTTGTAAGTGTTTCTGCGGAACAATAAAGCATTTGAGCTAGGTGTGTGTGTGTGTGAGAAGACGGGTGGGTGGGGGCCCGGACCCCCCCCCCAGTGGGAGGTCCAAGCAGGGACCCTGGCCCACCATGACCTCCAGGTCCCTGCTCTGTCAGGCTGGGAGGCAGCAGGGCAGAAAGAGGCAGGAGAAGGCGGGGCCGGTGAGAGGTTTAATGAACAGAGGTGCAGGGAGGCCGCCCTGTGGTCACCGTGTTAGGAAGCTGAGCAGGAGGGCAGCGGCCAGGCAGTGGGGCTCCAGGAGCGCCAGCTGGGTCCCCGAGCTCAGCCGGTCACCATAGCGGTCCAGGAGCATCAGGGCCACTCCGTTGGTCCAGCCAAACCCCTCCTGGAGAGAGGGGAGGCTGGTGGAGCCACAGCTGTGAGGCACCCGCAAGCCCGGATCTGGGGGTGGGGAGGTTCCTCTACTCGCGGCCCTGGCCCCACCCACCCCAGGGAACCAAGGAGCACTCAGCTGCCCTGGGGTCCCCATGCAGGTGAGCACCCTGCGGCCTGGAGGGTCCCGTCAGTGGTGGGGACAGCACGGCCCACTCACCTGCACTTCATACTCCCCTCCGCCACCCGGCTGTGCGTTGCTGATGTCATACTGGGGACAAGAGGTCGGGTGAAAGGTCAGGCACTGGTCCTACCCCCACCAAGTCCGCCCTAGGGGGAAGCAGTTCTGGACACAGCCCCGGCCCCTGCAGTGCCCAGATGTGGCCACTGGGTGCCGCCACTGTCCTGGCTGCGCTGCCCTGGGCCTGGCAGCCGGGGACACTTCCCAGAGGGTTGAGACCATACTCCTGAGACACAGCTCCATCGCCTGGATCCTGAATTCTGAAATCCCCAAATTCAAAGTCTCCAACGTCTGAAATCCGAATGTTGAAATCCTCAAAGCTGGAATCTCGTACACAAGAGAGTGAGACAGCTCAGTCTGGGAGAGGAACTGGCCGTGCACTGCGGCAGTGATGAAAATTCAGCTTAAAATGCGTCATCTGGTGGCAGGCCTCTGGCTCCGCGGTTAGGCCCACCCTGTGGTGTCCGCCCCCACACTGGAGTGCCCGGGTTCAAGTCCCAGCTCTGCACATCATGGCTCAGGCACTTTCTCCATATGTCAAAATTTTTCTTTCTTTCTTTCTTTTTTTTTTTTTTTTTGGACAGGTAGAGTTAGACGGTGAGAGAGAGAGAGACAGAGAGAAAGGTCTTCCTTCCGTTGGTTCACCCCCCTAATGGCCGCCACGGCCGGCGTGCTGCGCCGATCCAAAGCCAGGAGCCAGGTGTTTCTCCTGGTCTCCCATGCAGGTGCAGGGCCCAAGCACTTAGGCCATCCTCCACTGCCTTCCCGGGCCACAGCAGAGAGCTGGACTGGAAGAGGAACAACCGAGACAGAATCCAGTGCCCCAACCAGGACTAGAACCCGAGGTGCCGGCACCCCAGGTGGAGGATTAGCCAAGTGAGCCACGGCGCTGGCCCTTTTTTCTTTTTTTTTAAATTAAGATTTATTTATTTATTTATTTGAAAGTCAGAGTTACAGAGAAGAGAGGAAGGTACAGAGATCTTCCAACCCTGGTTTACTCTTCAAATGGCCACAATGGCTGGCACTGGGCCAGGCTAAAGCCAGGAACCTGGAACTCCATCTGTGCCCCCCTACATTGGTGCAGGGGCCCAAGCACTTGAGTCATCTTCTGCTACTTTCCCAGGTGCATTAGCAGGGAGCTGGATCGGAAGTAGAGCAGCCAGGACTCGAACCGGCACTCACATGGGATGCCAGTGTTGTGGGCAGCAACTTAACCCACTGCACCACAGCACCCGCCCCCAGATTTTTATTTTTTCCTTCTTTCTTCTTTAAGCTTTCCTCTATTTCAGCATTATTTTAACAACTCCTCATGCTACACATTTCAGTTTTTCATAATTTCTGTTTTAAGATTTATAATTAATTTTTTAACACAAAGAGATCTCCCATCTGCCTGTTCGTTGCCCAGGTGCGTGCAACAGCCAGACCTAAGCCAGGGATGAGGGACGCAATCGGGGTCTCCCGCATGGGTGGCAGGGACCCAAGCACTTGGGCCGTCTCTGCTGCTTCCCAGGGTGCGCATTAGCAGGAAGCCGGAGTCAGGAGCAGAGCTGGGAAGCAGATGTCCCAGTCACCATCCTAACCCGTGCACCAAAAGCCTGCGACTTCACATCATTTCAATACGAGAGGTATAAACTGGGCAAACTTTGAGAGAGCTGTCATTCACTTAATGCATCTTTAACAAATGTGGCTCCACGACAGCGTGTCGTCACAACGTTGACTTCCTGTGTGTGCAGAAAAACCTGGAAACTTCCTAATACCAAAGAGATGGCCTTTTCTGTACACCTGTATTTATGAAAGACAGAGTTCTCCAGATCCGAGCTCTCCTGAATCACTTATTTATTTGAAAGGCTGAGTGACAGAGAGAGAGAGAGAGAGAGAGAGAGAGAGAAATTGATTGTCTACATGCTGGTTCACCTTCCAGATGTGCATGACAGCCAGGGCTGGGCCGGGGGAAGCCGGGAACACCGTCCGGGTCTCCCACGTGGGTGGCAGGGACCTGAGCACTTGAGCCATCCCTGCTGCCTCCCAGCACGCACCTTAGCAGGAAGCTGGACAGGAAGCGGAGTAGCCAGGGCGGGGCCCGAGTGCTGTGCCCACCGCTCAGCCCTGCGACTCAGCGCTTCAGGTGACTCCAGTACAGTGGTAGCACCACCACCCTTTCTGGTCCACCTGTCCAAGGACCTGGGTTGTCCCTCACAGATCTCCCAGGACGGCAGTTACGAAGCGGAGGGCACAGTTACCAGCCACGGCGACATGTGTTGTGCAGTTTGCTTTCTGCCCTGTTCTGGACGCACACGGTCCACCTGCTGCTATCAGATCTGGAGCCGCCGCTGTTAGCGCACCTGAGGCACAGGTGTGTGTGCGAGTAGTGCCTATTTTATTATGTCAAGTGGTCTACAACATGTTCTAAGTTTCCCAGATAAATCCCCTTTTACAAATGTAAGCGAATGCCTTTTCAATAATTTTTATTTATTGTTTCCAGAGCTAACTTTTCAGGATTTTGATCTTTGGGCATTTCAGTGTTCAGGATGATGGCACAAACTCTTGCCTTCCTCATCCGAGGAGGGGGCCTGGTGGGACTTCCCCCGTCTTATACGAATGTTATTAAGAGGGTGGGGACTTAATCCTTCTGTGATAGTTAGGGTAGGGTCATTAGGGCAGAGCCCCCAAGGCTCAATCCTGGTAGCTTCATAAGGAGGGAGAGAGACCAGACACTTGCCCCCTGCCCATGTTGCTCTGAGGCTCGGCCAGCACTGTGGCGTGGTGGTTAAGCTGTCACTTGCCACGCCAGCATTCCACATCACAGCACTGGTTCCAGTCCCGGCTGCTCCACTTCTGATCCAGCTCCCTGCTAATGCGCTGGGAGGCAGTGGTCGATGGCTCAAGTCCTTGAGCCCCTGCACCCACGTGGGAGACCCAGATGGAGCTCCTGGCTCTTGGCTTAGCCTCAGCTGTTGCAGCCAGCTGGGAAATTAACCACCGAATGGAAGATCTCTCTGTCACTCTCACTCTGCCTTTCAAATAAAACCTAAAGAAAAAGGATGTCCTCACTGGGGGCTGAACAGGGGGCCCGTGAACCTCCACAAATGAGTCAAAATGAACCACTTTTGTTTAAATACTGCTAGCCTGCCTCGGGTGTTTCATTACAGCACTGATCGGTGACTAAGCTGCGGCCAGCTCACCTTCTCATACATGGCTGATCTTTGGGAGTAGACATCAAAGTTGGTCCAGATCCAGTTCTGAGCCAGCTGGAAAGCCACTTCCTGTGTCCGAGCTGAAGGCGACTTGGCCAGGCCTAGACCCCACCCCAGGCAGGACCCTGAATCTCCACAGCTCCAGGCCCCAGCAAGGGAGAGCCCTGGGCCCAGTGCAGGCTGTGGAGGCAGAGGAGGGCTGATCCCACAGGGCGGTGGGAGTGGGGCGTTTGCCAAGTGGGAGGCCAGAACAGACACAGGGGAAGGGGCCTGCTTCCACGGCCCACACCTCCCTAGCACCAGGACAGCCGACCCCCTGCAGCCTGAGGCCAGGCCTCCCTACCTCTGATGACCAGATCCTGAAGGGGGGCCCAGGCATTGGGAAAGTCCCACTGCTGGCCTGTGTTCTGGAGAGAGGTTGGGATTCCATGGCGGTGGTTCAGGATCTGGCTGTCCTAGAAGGTTCCAGGTGTTACTGAGGCTGTGGGTGGGGGCTGCAGGGGGAGCCAGGGTGCAGGTGCAGGACCCTCCTGGACCCCAGATGCACCTTCCCTAGCCACCTCTTCTCGGCTCGCTGCTGCCCCCTGGTGGGAGCCACAGGCTAAGGCCCAGGAGCAGACAGGAGGGAGTGGCTGCCACCTACCAGGTCCCTGCTCCCAAGAGCCAGGAGGGGACAGTGCTGCTCCCTGTGGGCCCGACCCCGCTGCTGTCCCCTCACCTGCAGGTACTGCAGAGCCTTGTCTGCGATGGCAGGGTCAGAGAAGCAGCCGGCCCAGAGTGGAGCGAGGTTGGACGGGTAAAACTCGTGGTTCTTCTTCTGGTTCTCAAGGTCGTAGTCGAACCAAGCGCCCTTGTCCTCATGCCACAGGAGGGCCGTCAGGGCCGCCATGCGCTGTGCCCGCGGATTTCTGTACTTCGTAGCCTGGGATTCATTCCCTGGGCGGCATTGCCTTCAGCTGGAGCTCACGGAGCCCTGCCCTGGGGCCCTACAGAAACTCCTGGAAAGAAGTCCTCCCCTCTGGCTCCTCCTGACCCAGGCTCTCGCCCCTGCTTGGCTCTCCCTTCCTGAGCCTGTGGGAATGGCAGCCGCTGAGACTGCTGTGGCCGTGCCCCGTGCCAGCGCCCACCGGAGGGGCTTCCCTCTGCTCGGAGGCTGAGAGAGAGCAGCGCTTTGCATGGCCACCCAGGCCCACCCAGCTGCTCCCCCTGCGTGGCCCCTCTGCCCGCACCACTGCCCAGCTCAGCAGGAACTAACAGGAGCCTGTTTCTGCTGCCCCCCAAAGGATGCCTAAGCTGGCCGGGAACCCCCCCCCACCTTGAAAGCCAGACCACGGAAACAGAGGGGGCACCAGACAGACCGGATGGCTCCCAGCAGCCTCTCTGGTCCCGCCCTCACCCTGCCCCGCCCCCTTCATCCACATCCGCCTCACCTGGGGAAGGGGTTTTAGCTTTTGGCCTGCCTGAGCCAGAGAGTGGGGTTGGTGGGCTGCTCCTTGGGCCTGGCTTGGTGGTGGCAGCAGGGGTGCAGGGTGGAGGGGGATGGGGCCTGGCACCCCCACACCCAGCCGCACGCAGGTCATCTCGTTGACTGATGCTCCATGGACACCTGGCAGGTGCCGGGCTGAGAGGTGAGACCCTGAGCCAGGCCCAGAGGCCCTGTGCCACAGTCTCAGACACCAGGGCTCCTAGCGGCCTGGCCTTGGCCACACAGAGGCTGCGCTGCAGGGTCCAGGAGTGTTGGGGAGCCCAGGGTGGGTGGGGTACCTTGAGCAGTGCAGGCCCCTGGGACTGGACAGGGCCTGGGGCTCGTGTGTGTTTCCCCTGGGGACTCAGGGGGAGTCTGTGATACACACACTGGGAGAAGGAACAGAGCCCCTTCCAGGCCCGGCACCGGCCCGACGCTGGACAAAACCCTTGGTCACGCAGCTTCTCCGAAGTTGTCACCGCAAGTGCTCGGGACTAAACCCATGACTACCCCAGGTGCATCCTTAACCCTCGCGTGCCGGTCAGTCACGGACAAGCCCTAACAGCTCAGTCTTCTGCCACCCACCTGGCACCTGTCCTGTTCCCCTCTGCCCGGGAGCCCCCTCTCCGAGGCCTGTCCCAGTCCCGCCCCAGCCACACGGGCCTTCTTCCTATCCTTTAGAAAAAGTATTGATTTATTTATTTGAAAGGTGGAGTTAGAATCTTCTATCCACTGGTTCGCTCCCCAAGTGACCATGATGCGCCAGACCAAAGCCAGGAGCCAGAAACACCATTCAGGACTCCTGCATGGGTTGCCGGGGCCCAAGGACTTGGACCACTTTCCACTGCTTTCCCAGGCATGTTAGCAGGGAGCCAAATTGGCAGTGGAGTAGCTGGGACTCAAACTGGCACCCATGTGGGATGCTGGCATCTTCATAGGCAGTGGCTTAACCTGCTTTGTCATAATGCTGGCCCCAGCCTTCCCACTCCCCAATCAGTGCCCCAGGGCCTTTGCACTGCACTGCCCACCCCCCACTGGACCGTCCTCTCCAGATCCGCTCAGCAGGATCTGCTCAAACATCACCAGCTCAGAGGCGTTGCCCCACCCCCTCTCGGCCCCACCTCCACTTTACTGAACCAAAGCGAAGGGGTGGGGGAGGGGAGAGTGCCACAGACCCCCTGGGGGCTGAGGGGTGGGCCTTACCCTGGGCCCCCAGGCAGGCAGGGCTGCCTCATCCCTGTTGCTTGGCGATAGAAGCTGAGTCGGCATGGAGGTTAGGGTCAGGCCTCGGCTGAACCCAGGGGCTCTGGCCAGGCTCGTGGGCGCTCCCTCACCCAGGTGAGGCAGTTTGCTGGAACAGGCCAGAGAACGGCCTCAAATAGTTCAAAGAGCAGCGTGGAGGGCAGGTGGGGCAGTGTGCGACATGGCAGCCAGCAGCCTCCTGGAGGGCAGGCCTGCCCCACAGCCCTGTCCTGTCCGGGGCTGGAGGTCCAGTGGGGCCCCCGGTTCACTCTGGCCAAGTCCTTCCTCGTCCAGGGAGCCGCACGAGGCTACAGGGGAGGCTTTGCCCAGGGTGGTTAACTCGGTGGGGGAGGCAGGCTCACCTGGGCAGCCTGGGGCAGGGGAGACCCCGCAGGCAGAGGGGGCCGCAGCAGAGCTCTCCAAGGACCAGAGGAGAGGAGGAGGCAGCTGAGCAGGGGTGAGCGCGGAGGGCAGGCACTGCAGCCCCCAGCCCGGGCCCTGCAGCCCTGCCCCCTCCTCCAGGGCTGGGCCTGAAGCCAGCTAAGGAAGACTCAGCTCCCCTCCCCCGCCCCTACCCAAACCACAGCCACCTGTGGATCAAAAACACCTCTTCACAAGTTTTTTATTTTTGTTTAACTCTCGGTTGTCTCAAAGCTGTGGGCGGGTGGGTGTGGGGCTGAGTCACCGGGGGCTGCGGAGCTGGGAGCCTCTGCACGTCTCCCGTTTCTGCACGTGGCAGCAGTTTTGCAGAAAGGGTGTGGCAGGTGCGTGCGGGCCAGGCGCCCGTGTGCTGCAGCTGCCTGTGGTCGCCTCTGCCCACCCAGGCTACCAGCCTCCTGTTCTCACCTCAACCGCTGCGGCTTCCTCTCCGCCCGTGGGAACAAGGCCTGGGGTCAAGGGCCCCCTCTGGGCCCCCGCACAAGTGGGCATCTCCCTGCTGGGCCACAGCTGTTCGCAGCAAAGCCAGGTGTGAGCAGGTGACCTGTGCGCGAGGCGCGGCCTCTGTCTCCCATGCAGTCCCTGCAGCCCGTGGGATTTCAACCGAGCGTTCGTGAATATCCCTGAGGGGCGGCTTACATCACAGCTGGGGCCCAGCAGCCCTGCACGGAGCACCTGGCTGCCCTGCGCCAGCTTTGGTGGTGGGTCCTTTCACGTGAACGGGAGGATTTGCTCTCCATTTTGGCAACCTCAGAAATTGGGGACTCGAGTGTGCAAGATAGACAGGTTGTGCGTAACAGAGCCAGCAGTGCAGCAAGGGACCCCGTCTGGGGGTGGCGGGGACCAGGGTGGCCGGGAAGCACACTCCTCCATGATGAGGCAGAGAAGGGAGCAGTGGGCCAGGTGGCTCCTTCCTTATCCGAGCCCCTGATTCGTCAGGGGAGGGTGGAAGTCCACCCGTGTTCGAGAAACCTCCAGTGTTTCCGTTTGTCTGTAATTCTGACAGCGATTCCTGTGTGTGTGTGTGTGTGTGTGCATAGGAGGGGGCCTAACGGCCTGCTGGGTCCCCGCCCCCCCAATGCCCACATGACCCCACCCTCGGCTGCCGCATCGGCCTGGACTGTGGACTCAATCATCGGTGCCCCTTCTAGGCTGCGTGGACGTGCCAGCCTCCATGTGTGGCGATCACTTACAAATCTGAAAGGAAAGCAAGGCCCAGACGCTTGGCCCAGTGGTGAAGGTGCCTGCATCCCTTAGGAGAGTGCCTGGGGTCAAGTCCCAGCTCCACTTCCCATCCCAGCTCCCTGCTGATGTGCACTCTGGGAGGCAGCCGGTGATGGCTCAAGTTCATGGGCCCCTGCCAGGCACGTGGGAGACCCAGATGGAGTTCCCATTCCTGCTTCCGTCTGGCCCAGCCCTTGCCACGGTGGACATTTGGGAAGTGAACCAGGGAACAGGAGCTCTCTTTGTCTATCTGTCTCTGCTTCTCAAATAACCTAAAAATAAAATAAAAGGAAAAGTAATACCCTCACACCTGGGGGAAGCCTACAGAATAAATACGATGGTTCTAGTTTAAGGTTCTTCGGATCTGGCCTGGGCCTCAGCCCACACGGACACAGCCCTGGGCCCCCCTCATTTCCTCTGTGCCCAGATGTTCCTGGCTGTCCTCACCCAACTCTCCCCACTTAGCTCACCTGATCATTCATTTATTATTTGAAAGGCAGAGCAACAGAGGGAGAGGCACAAAGAGAGGGAGAGACAGAAAGAGAGCTTCCACCCACTGGTTCACTCCCCAAATGGCCGCAATGGCCGGGGCTGGGCCAGACCGAGGCCAGGAGCCAGGAGCTTCTTCCACTGCCTCCCCAGGTCCCCAGGTGCGTTAGCAGGGAGCTGGGTGGGAAGCCGAGTAGCCAGGACTCGAACCGTTGCTTTGATGTAGGATGGCAGGGTTGCAGGCCGGGCCCATCCTGCTGCGTAGCGCTGATACTGCCCTGGCTGCCGCCTTTGCGAGCAGAGCCCCAGCAGTGGGGAGCTGGAGCGCGTTGAGAGCCTGCTCGGCTTTCACCTGGAGGTGGCGCTGCAGGCAGGGTGGACGGGCGGAGAAGGGGACCTTCGTTCTCAGCGCTCAGCTCCGACCCCAGGGAACAAAGATCTGGGCTGCTCCGGGCCCACCGTCCTTAGAAGACAACTCATTGCCCCCCCGAACTCCTAAGTATTGGCCACCGGCTTCCTTTCCACTGTCTGCTCCCAGAGTGCTGCTGTGCCCAGCTGTTGATTTTCCAGGTTCCTGGGTTTGGGGTGGCCAGGGACCCAGCTCTCACAGTGAGGTGAGAAAGTCGCTGGAAGATTGAATTCTGGTCTGATGGCTTCAGCTGGCCCAGCCCCAGGGGAAAGAACCAGGAGGAGGCAGATCTCTGCATGTCTGTCTCTTTCTCTGTGTCTGTTTCTTTGCCTCTCAAATAAATAAAACAAAAAATTATACGAGGAGGGACTCGATTGGCTTCTGTTTGACCCTTTGCCCTTCCCCTCTCCCTCCTTCGTGCTTGGAGTACAGATGAGGTGTGTGGAGCAGCAGAAGCCTCCTTGCAACCAGGAGGCATTGAAATGGTGCTCACAGCTGCCTGCTCCGGCTGGCAGAGCAGGAAGCTGGAGAGGGCCCGGCTTTCAACAGTACCTTTGAGTCACAAGAGCCCGCACTCCTGTAATACCAGGAAAACAAAGCCGTCCGTGGCTTAAGCCACTGGTGTCACTTACAAATGCCTAACGAATCCTAACAGACCCTTCTGAGTGTCCACTGCTCCCCTGCCCAGGGGCCTCTGGGGAGGGTGTCTCCTTGCTGGTGACCTGTCCAGCCAGGAGCAATGTCCCTGTGACCCTGTGGCACCTCCTGCTGCCTGACCAACCTCCAGCTAGCCGTGGGCCTGCAGGGTGGGGTGCAGCGAGGATGGGGATCCCTCTTAGCCTGTGACCACTGAACGGCTGACCCCCTGACCGAGCCTGCACGCACACATCCGGGTGTCTGTGACGGCTGGCTGCCTTCCTCACACCCCAACCCCAACCCACGTGCAAGCCACTTCTGGACGCCCAGAGTTCGCTCTCGTGCACACGGCCCCCAGGAGGTGACTGCATGGCTGGCATGGCAGGACACCACCGTGACACCGCACTCTCCCACATCTGGGTCCCTGGCCCCGTGACCAAGTTCTTGCTGCCACCTGCGTTTCCTGCGCCTTCCTGCTCGAGATGTCATAAAGCCGCTTGAAAACTTGCAAGTACAGTCATCCGCTTGCCACGGCCCTGTTTGCACGGGAGGAAGTGGGAGCCTGAGTGACCACAGGCTGCCTGGACAGTGGCCCC